CCAGAGACAAAAATCAGGTCGAGTTGTGTCCCCCATTATGGGTGGGGTCTTGAATTAACTGAGTTAGGTCCATAGCCATCATATAAGCCATGAACTCCCAAGATGACTCTGATATCTCGCCAATGGAAGGCAGATTGAAATCCCCCAGGATCATAAGCCTGGGGAAATCACCCGCCAATCCAGCTAACACATCCAGCAGCGCCGATGAAACATAGCAGGGAGACAGGTACGTAACAAAAAGGCCCACTTGAACTCCAAGGCCCCATTTCACAAAAAGGGACTCACACCCGCCTATCTGAGGCACAGTGACCTCCTGAGGTCCAAAACTTTCCCTAATAACCACCGCCACCGCTGCCCTGCCTCTCGGCTGGTGAAACGCCTGGAAGCCTGGTGGGCATAATTCACTAAGGGGAACAGCCCCCTCATGGCCCAACCAGGTCTCTGTAATGCATGTCAATTCCGCTCTACCCTCTTGTATGAGGTCGTAAATGAGGGGCGTATGAGGTTGTAAATGGCTGCCGCTGCTGCTACTTTTCTGGGGCACCCAAGCCAGCTGGCACTTCAGACCACAGATGAGCTACAGGCTGGAGGGCTGGGGCCATGCAAGAAGCCCACTCGGGCAGGGAGAGAGGTAAGCCCCGATCACAGCTCTGCTCTGCTAAGAAGCGATGGCCGGGAGCCGCTCTCCGTGTCTTTTGGCATGCACGACCGTTGTTCTTCCTGTTGCTGGTTTTTGCATGAGCGCCAGAAATCAGATCACCAGATGGCCCACGCGCATGTGCATCCTGGAAACAAAAAGATCATTTTCCTAGCGTGCGCATGTGTACCTGGTGGCTCCTCTTCTGCTTTCTGTCACGCCAATGCATGTGAAGACCAGCTGGCTGCTGCGCCCGAACCCGGAAGAGCAACTGGTGATGGCTCCATGTGCCAGGAGAAATAGCTCCAGTGCCACTTCTGGCATGAGTGCCATAGGTTCACCATCACGGCAATGCTAATAGGTTATTATCATTCTTAAATATTGTTATGCCTTTCAGGCTAAAAATCTTCTGAAGATATCTTACTGATTTCACATTTTAAATGTATTTACTTTTATTTATTTAGTTTGTCACTCGTGTACAAGATAACAGGAATAAGAATAAACATGAATAAGAACACAGGAAATGGGGACAAATAAATGGGGACAGTAGGACAGGGGCGTTAGGCATGCTGGTGCACTTATGCACACCCCTACATTAATACATAAATTATTGTGATGTACTTATTCTTTTATTGTATGTACTTCTCAGTCCCACAATCACTTTGCAATGTAATGTTGCAGGTACACTTTGGAACATTTCATATCGTATCATAATTCCTTTGCTTAATCAGATTGTTCAAGAGTGGCCTAGCCAGTTTTAATTTCAAAACAATAACAAACTTGTGATGCATCAAGGCTGGAACAAGGGCTGTCATACCTGAAATGCAAAAATCAAGACAACCTCTAGATGCACCAAAGTGATACAGAAAATATTCTTTTTAAATATCTAAATGGTTCAGTGGAATTTTGCAGCTGATACTGGAAGAGATGCATTGATGTAGTAAGATACACCTGTTCTAGAGGAACTTGTTTCTATGCAGGATTTTTCTTTAGTGGTGTTGACCATCTCCAATTATGGGTGATTGGTGAATTACATTGGCTGTGTTTAATTAAAAGATGGTTTTTCTTCTTCCCTGTATGGGCATAAAGGATTGACAAAAACAAACTCATTTAGTTACTTCTGTCTGCCTCTTCAAGCAAATTTAGATGA